AATGATTAATGAAGTCGGGATTAATAAAGCTATGGACATACCTAATTAAGAGAAAGGATGAGATACTCGAAGTGTTTAAGAAGTTCAAATCTATGGTTAAAAGGAAAAGTGGTCACAAGCTTAAGGTGCTCAAAACGAATGGTAGAAGAGAACATGTCTCAAATGACTTTGGGAAGTTTTATGATCAAGAAGGGTTGGTATATGAGATTGTACCATCTTATAAATCATGGAAAGATGTTGTTTTCGAGAAGAAATGTCGATTGATTATGAACATTGTGAGAGACATGTTAAAAGGGATGAACTTTTTGAAAGAGTTATGAGGATAAGCAACATCTGCAACTACCTATTTGTTGAATATGTGTCTGACAAATAAGCTTGAAAAGGTAACACCGAATGAAGCATAGTCGAGATTCAAACCGAATCTAAATCATTCTGAGATAGCTTAGAAAGAAGCTGAATGATAAGGGAGAATTGATGATACTTTTAGGGTATCACACTACTAGTGGTTACAAGTTGTATAATGCAACAAACAGTAGGATTTTGATCATTTGAGACATCATTGTTGATGAGATAAAGGAGTCGCAACATCTTATAACAAGTTACATAAAAGCTCTAACTGGTTACAACATTGAAAGTTCAATTTCTATAGAACTTGAGAGTGCATAAATGCCCGTAGTCGAAGCCCGAATTGAAGAGTATGTGAGAAAATCAACAAGGAAAAAAGGTTCTCCTTAAAGACTCCAAGATTGTAAGTTGTTCCGAGACAACGAAGTCTATGACGATGGTGATTTCGTCCATTTTTCACTTATGCCCGAATCTGAATCCAATAAACGGGAGAGGCCTTGAGTGATCCAAAATGGATTTGTGTTATGAATGAGGAGCTGGAATTCATTAAGAAGAACAAGACTTGGGAATTGGTTGATCTATCAAACAGGAAGAAGCCATTGGTGTAAGATAGGTATTCAAAGTGAAGAAAAATCCAAAGGGTGAAATAATCAAGCATAAGACTCGATTATGTGCAAAGGGATTTTTGTAGAATGAGGATGAGCAAGAGGTGAATCCAACTCAGTATAGGAGGCTGGTTAGACCCTTGTGTTACTTATGCAATATGTGACCAGACTTGGCGTTTAGTGTTGGCATGAGTAGATTCGTGGAGAGACCGAAGGTGTATCACTTGGAAGTAGTCAAGAGGATTCTAAGATACGTCAAATGATCGATTGGATGCAGAATTCTCTTTCCTACGGAGGACACAGGTAGAAAATGTAATTTACTCGATTTTACCAATTCTAATTGGTGCAGAGATAAAAATGATAAAAAGTATACAACTTGATACATTTTTATGTTTGGTGGAACACCAATCTTATGGTGTTCAAAGAAAGAACCAATAGTAGCACTCTCATCTTGTGAGGCTGAGTACATTGTCGTTCCGTTGTGTGCGTGCCGAGCCATGTGACTAATGAATCTATAGGAGTTGGGCAGCGATGAGGGTGACATTGTAACGCTTTTGGTTGATAATGTTTTCTTATTAAATATTTCTAATACTCATTTGCACATGGGAGGAGCAAGCATATTGAGATTATGTTTCACTACTTGAGGGAACTTGTTAGGGAAGGAAGATTAAGATTGAGATATTATAGAAGTGAAGATTAAGTGATTAATTTGTTGATCAAGGGAGTCACAATTGAAGTGTTGAATAGGTTGAAAATGAACATAGGCATAGAAGACTTAGAGCACTTGAATTAAGGTGGTGCATTAAGAGAAAAAACAGTGACTCATGTGCTATAATTGGTTACCTTAGATGTGCAACCGGTTACAACTATGTGAAAAAGTAGCAAGACAGATACAAAGGAGAATTCTCGAGGGTGTAACAGGTTAAGCATTCGCATTAATCGGTTACCACTATTATGAAATTGTTTTTTGTTTCAGCTGTAACCGATTAGAGGTTTTGTGTAACCGGCTACTGGTACAAGTTTCAGTTTTCTGTTATTTTGATATTGTTACTTGTGTACCAATCCACTTGTAATCATTTTAAATACCTTGGAGGTATTGTTGTAAATGTTAATCAAAATATTTCTCACCCTCAATTACTCTCTCTATAATTACAATTCTCTCTCTTAATTTTTCTCCATCTCCACATTCAATTTTCTCCATTATTCACCAATTAAGTGATTCCAAGTTCTAACATTAATGAAATAAGAATATAAACTAAATCTGCTGGAATTTGAAGCGTGTGCCCTGAATTATTTTATCCCTTGATTTTCAACAAAAATCGATGAAATAGATTATATATTTTTAAAAGAAAAAAAAATCATGTTGAGTCCAGAAATTGTACCTCGGTTTTTTGATACATAGGGTGAAATAATTGTCATAAAACTTATTATTTGTTGTATGTTAAGTTTTTGTTTTTCTAAGTTCTTCGTTCTTAATGCTTGTTTTGGATTATCTACCTAAAACATATTTATATGGTATGACTTGGTATTCGAAAGGTACTAGTCATTACCAGATTCAAGTCTTTGATTTATTAAATGCTTAAGTCTAGACATAGATTTAGATTCAATATTTATATGATATTGAAACTTAATGTTGGCGTATTAGTTAACAAACTAGAGATCGTCCATTAGGTAATATGCTTGACCTCACGCCGTTGACTTAAACATGAGCTGGGATGAGAGCTTCAGACAGTAATACCAGTAAATGACTAGAATTGCATATTACTGATCAAAGATGCAACATAAGAATAAGTCAATGAAATCTAAACTCCAACAAAAAAAATTTATTGTTAAACACTAAAATTTTAATTTTATTTTATGATATTTTCCATTTCAAATATTCACAAAACAATCAATCACCTGAGAAACCAAACTATTAAACGGTGTTTGAAAAACAATCCATTCTTATGAAGACCATAAAACTGCATTTTGTTATATGCGCTGCAACAATACTCTTATAAGAACATTAAATGATTCTCTCAAGAACAAATTTGTAAAAATATACAAATATTTATTACGTCAACCAATTTTCTTAATTTTCATAATTTCTTCTATGAAATCTTATATTTAAGGATCGAGATAATATTTGACATTAATAAAAACAACTACAATTATTTAAGTTCAAGACTATCTATATTCTTAAAGCTAGCACGGGTGCACATTAAATAGAATATCTTTTATTTTCTTCATTTCACAATAAGTGATTTAGTTAAGTATTTTACGCATATTAAAAAATATATAAATATAAGATAGAGAATGATGCTTTTATTAAAATACCAATTATCAAATATTAAAATGATGAAAGTAATAATGATTATATGAGAGTAGAATTGAAAAAAGAAAGAATTAGTTTGTATTTTCAATTGAAATGTATCATTTATTTTTGAACACTTCTTTTACAAATGAATCACTCATTTGTGGAAAACGATAAATATTGATTGACATTGATAAAATCAACTACAATTGACTTTGATGCAGTTTTATATAGAATGCACGACAATACAGATTATGATTTGTGGGTTAGATAATACTCCTCCGTTCCACCATAGATAAAAAATAAATAAATAAATAAATAAAATGAAAATAATGTTTTTATTAAAATATCTCTTATCAAATATTTTAAATGATAGGATAATATTAATTAGAAGATAAATTTGAAAAATATGCATCAAAAATTAAAATGAATAATTTATTTTAAAATATTATTTATTCTACATGAATCACTCATTATGAAACAGAAGAGATGAATACTACTTTGTAATTAATGTTGGAATGATTAATATATGTTTGTATTAGTAAAATACACTAAATGTAAATAATTCAATCAATAGTGTTCCATAAAAATCAAATGTTCTTTTAGACTTGATAGCAAAAGCAAGTTTAATCATATGGCACAAAGAACCAATAATGCATAAATATTGTTTAGAAGCTCTTGAACAAACTTTTTCAAACACTCTTTACTCATTGATGAACATAATTTGAAATTTTTGTGTGGAAAAGTTATAGTTTTGGGAAGGAATTTCACACAAAATTTGTCAATTATACCCAAAGGAACCAAACAAAAAGTTGAGTAAACTGTCATAATTCATCAAAAAGTCAATAGGAGTAACTTCATGGAATGATTGAAGGTACTGATAATTGCTATAGACAAGTTTTTCAAAGTTAATCAATGTTGACATCATATTTACCGAAATTTTATTATTTCTTATTTTGTAGGTTTAATTGCATTAGTAATCTTTCTATTTTCACTTGTTCACAAAATTGGTTCCTTATTTTAAGATCAACCAACTTTGAACCCAACCACGTAACTTTTTAACAAAAAATAGTGATGTAATGTTTTAAATCATACAATCACATACAATCATTTAAATTGTTTAATTAGTTAGATACCATTGGTTATATTTAAAAAATGAAGATTTTCTAAAGTTGAAACCAACGTTAAGGGATTTTCTTGTCATTTCTTTCGTATTGATCACTATAGATCATTATATTATATATCAAGTCATTTAAGATATGTTTGGATTGATAGAATGGAATGGAATGAAATGATATAAATTTAAGTTTCATGGTTTGGATTGATTAAAAAAGCATGAAATGGAGCGAAACCGGATGAAATGCATTTTATCTCATTCTATCATTTTCCATCATCTTTTGTATCCTCTGGCTTGAGCGGAATGTCAAAATAAAGTAAAAGTGTGATTTTAAAATAAATGAATCAAATGAATAGGGACTAAAACTATAATGGCAATTTCATGATAATTTAATTCTTTATTATTCATAGTAGATAGTGTTTTTTTTTTGGTATATGAAACAGTACATCAGACCCGTGCATAGCACTGGTCAAGAATCTAGTGATAAATTACTATTACACCGGCTTCCACAAAGCCTGCTGTGGAAGAGGGTAAAAGAAGAAGAGCTGCAGTTCAATCATGTATTAGAAATAAAAGTGTATAAGAAGCACATAACTCCCTCCCATTTCCAGTGGAGAGGAAGGGTCAAGCTACGGGAACACTACTTGTGCCATACAGCATAGTTATGGCCACTGGTTGATAGTGTCCATTCCTTTCCAGATGGGCTCCATGAGCCATCTCCAATCTTCATGCAGAGCTTCTCCCCGATGATTGCAGCGTAAACATTGTGCTTGGCTTCCAGAATCCTAACAGGCGATCTGCTGTGAATACCTTGACGCTTGCGAGCGTCAATCTGCAGTTAAATGTGAGTTGGTGTATTAGATTCTTGTTGTCAAACAAAATGCATTAGCGTGATACTAGTCTGTTACGTACCAGCTTCACAATCTGCTCATGAACTGAGTGGTTCCAGTCATAAAAGTGGTCATAGAAAATTGTAGGTATCCCAGGATGAGTCAATATGTAAGCATATCCCTGCAGTAATCAAAAGATATATGCAGATCATTATTTTATAACCATAATTAAACTCTTTTTAATTAAGAGTGTAGTTAGTTAGCAGGATAGGGGCTATAAGTCAACAATATTGTCAATTTTTTGCAAGTATCCAAGAGTAATGAAAAACTATAACATTGATATGTACCTCCATAACATGATCAGAAGGGAAGGGCCAATGAGCCTGCACAGAGAGTGAATTTAAAATTTAGTCGTAAAAACTAAAAAAGCAATGTGTTATTAGGAAAATGAGGTAGAAGGAAATGACATATTTGTATTGGTGTCAAAATTCTTGCTGGAATCAGTAAGGCAATATGATAAAAGGCACATTATTAATCAATAACCTTTTAAAAAAAAGTATTTTCAAAAGCAAAATTAATTTTACATAAATCTATTATACCAGACCAGTCTTTCCCAGTTGTCACTAAGAAATAAGAAAGATGCATATAAATTTGAGTCACCTGAGTTGAGCCAGTATCATGATTTTCTATAAATGTCGCTGATCTTGAAGGCCACCACCCAATCACACCAGGTGGCTTCCCTTGAGCATCACACAGTCGCCAGTATTCTCTCTTAACAGCTTCCTACAAATGGCAGCATGAGGAAACAAGTTTGTGGTGAAAAATGTAATTTTGTAGCATGAACTCAATAAACTTGAGATTAAGCAATTGAATTCAGCAGTAGGGAATCATGGTCCATATAAGATAATGAGCACAAAATGTTTGGTACCTGGAGAATTCCCTTTGTTGTGAAGTCAAATGCAGTTGAGAGCTGTCCAGTGCCATCAATCCAATTGACAATTCGTTGCCTATGGCTATCTGCAGAGAGAGAAAAATAAGTGAGCTATAGGCTAAATATTGAAAGGCTAAAGTAGTCATATATTTCGTGACCATAAAGTATTCATATATTTGATGACAGAATATATATTTAAGCACTATACCTTGGTTATAGTCCAAAGTAGAGCCATTGTAGTTGCAAGTATCCCAATACTCCCCAACAGAGAACACTGGCTTTGCTCCTTCAATATATTCTTTCACGTATTTTGGTGAATAGCTACAATGACAGAATTGAAGGGTATAAAACTTATGACTCATGAATACATAAAGTATAAAGCCAAAGGAAAACCCTCCATATTCAAAAGGCACAACACATCTTACCCTTTTGCAAAATCAAAACGAAAATCTTGAAAGCCTACTTTATGGCGTAGAAACTGAAGCCATCCTATGATATCCTTTCTCACGAAATCTTGAGTATGATCAATATTGGGAAATCCGTGGAAAATGGCCCCAGTGTTTTGTTTACCCTAAAATAAACAGCACAAAGATACAACAGGAGGAACGCAGGATGCAGATTAGAATCAACGAAAATATATTGGTATTTGGGATGTAATATAGATATTAGTACCAGGCCACCAGTAGATGATGTTACAGCACGTTCATCCCACGGTAATGAAATTCCATCAAAGCGATTGTAGATCCCTCCGCGTCCTCGGGCGGTGCCAACGCGGTGATTGATAACTATGTCAGCCATTGCTCTGACTTTGTGTTGCTTCATCTTGTGAAGTAAAGCTTTTAACTGATTCTCAGAACCATATTTACTATTAAGAGAGTAAAGGTCCTGAGGAGTATAACCTGCGAAACAGAGAAAAGAAAAGAATCTATCACACAGTCTTCCTGGGAATAAATAGTCGAGTTTAAGACCCTATAATTGTATGCGTAATCCTTCAAAAGATGTTAACCTTCAGGTGCGAAGGAATGAGTTGGTGGTGGCAACCATGCTGAAGTGATCCCAGCTTTCGCTATGTCTGCAATTTTGGTTTCTAAAGTTTCCCACCAATTGTATTTGTGAGACTCCCAGTTGAAAGCCTACAGAGCAATTTTCTTCTAATGTCAGATTTGCTGTATGTAAAGTTCATGGCAGCCTTAAATTAAACAAAAAAAAAAAATACTATTTATATGTTTATTATGATAACTTATAAGCATGTAAACACTTAATTCATCCTATTATTAGCTTTACAAGATCATCACATATATGCAAATAGCATCAAAAGAGACATTAAAATTCTTCACAGCAGTAACAGCACCTGCAGCAGTATTTTGATTATTACTATAAAACAACCTTATCTTAAAGAGACATTGGACCTGTTTGGATTGACTTATTTGAGCTTATCTAATGGGATAAGTTTTGTGATATTATTTTAATAAGCAATTGTAATATAAGCTGCAAATACCTGAAAAAGTATTTCCTTTCCATCTCGCAAAACTGCACCTGGCGTTGGGTTTGAAGAAGGATTGATGACTTCAAAAAAAAAAAGTAATAATGAGAAAATGATATTGTAATGATATTTTGACATAAAGTATGATTGGAGAGAAATGGATACCGAGATCAGTAAGTTGATTGGGTTGATCAGTTTCCTGCAGCAAGAAGAGAAAAATAAGAAGAGAAAATTTGAAAGAAAAGAGAGAGAGCAAATGTTGCATACAATACGTACACTGGTTGAGTTACCCATAGGTTGAGAGTAAGATTACAGGAGTTGGAAATTCCAATGCAGTAGTAGTGATCTGCATCAACGATTCAAGACTTTGAAATCATAATAATAATATTAACTGAAAAGGAAACAAACATGGATAGAGAGAGAAGTGTACCGAATTGAGTTTGTTGAGAATGGAATGGTGTAGAGGGAATGGTATAAATAGTGAAAAAAAAGTAGAAAAAAAATAGTGAATAAGAATGAGATAGACATGAGCGATGTAAAAGAGGGAACACAGAATTGAAATAGATTCAAATTCTTGAGTTAGATTGAAAATTGGACTTGTGGTTCTTCTAGCAGCATCTCATGATCGCTGTTAGGTTTAGAATAAAAATAAAAATAAAAAAGAGTTGAATAGTAAGGTATGCATCAGTGCCCATTCCGTTCACATTGTGAATCATCGCTTCCCATTACTGACTCTCGTTGTTTGCTTGTCAAACTGTTCAACTTCCATCATCTCCAATCCAATTACTTTATTTTTGTCTCTTTTCACACCATGTCCCCTCTGCCATTTGTATAAATCAGTTGTTGCAACAAGTCATAGATTCGTATAATAAAAACAAGCACATAGTCTTCTTATTTTATCCATTATTTCTGGATAATTTTGAGTAATAGATAAACAGTTGTGGATAATTCATTTAATAACCAATAATATTTAAATATTATATTTCTTTTTTTTCAAAAAAAATATTTAAAATCTATTCTAATTACTTTTCAAAAAAAAATTTAAATATATGTATTCCCTTAAAAAGGCATGGAAGTTTACATGTCTTAATAGATATAAAACATATTTCAATTATAAAAATATTATAAAAACATAACCTTAGATAGCCCTAGGCAACACCGTTTATATCTAAAAAATACTTTAGTTTATATGATTTCAAATTTTTTATGGATTGATTTTTTATTTTAATTATGATCAATTTGAATTTAAACTCTTATATATATTAATAGCACAAACGTTGAGTGTCTTCTATCTAATTCTATTTATTTTTAATTGTAAAAGAAAGAAAAAAAAGTGTCGTTGGAATGAGTCACACATGTGATGTGGGTTTTGCATTATTGGTCGCATTGTTTTAATATTTTCTCTAAATTTTACGTCGGCCACTGAAAGGAGGAATGCATTCACAAAAGATGTTTTGAACTAGATTAGATAGTTTATATCATCTGATTGAAACGAGTAAATACAAATCTTTTATAAGTATAGAAGAATTGTGGCCTTTAACTTATTTTAATGGTTAGTAATTAGAAGAAAAAAATCAATTATTCAACAAAATAAATTAAAAGAGTGTGGTAATATCAATGAAAAAAAAAAACCTTCCAGGTTTACAATTTGTATTATGAGGCCATTTCAAATGACTAATGTAGTCCAACTTTTTATGAGTCATTAGCCACCGTCCCCTACTATTAAAAAATCCATTAAGTTGTGAGAATTGTTACGTGCACTTCAAAAATGATGTCCATGTGTAACTATATATGATTTAGATAAGGTTCTTTTTTAATTGTTATTTTTTTGAAATATTTCTTTCCTTTTTTGTCACGTCAATATGTGGTATATTTTTATACTCATGAATGATTTGCTTGGATATTTTAATAGATTAAAAAAACATATAATAAAAAAAATAAGAGAATGATATTTTTTACCAAACTATCTATTAATTGTTAAAAGTTATTTTCTTTTTGGTAATTCAAGTCTTAATACCTGTTATTAAGAGGTATAATCGGTTATAAGTAAGCTTGAAGCAATTCTGAGTAATAGAAAAATAAAATTATTGAAGGTGTAATTGGTTAATATCTGAAGTTAACAGGTTACCATTGAGGTGTTTTAATTTTGATATCAGGTGTAATCGATTAATATCTGAGGTTAATTGGTTACCATTAAAGGTGTTTTAATTTTAGTGTTAGCTGTAATCAGTTACAAGTCTGAGGTTAAGCATTTTTCTGTTATGTAATTACTTGTTTTAGGTCTCAATCATTTTGTAACACTTGTATAAATATTTGGAGGCATCTTCGTCATAGTTGTTGAAAGTTAATGTAACTCTCTCTCTCTCTCTCTCTCTCTCTATATATATATATATATATATATATATATATATATATATATATATATATATATATCTTTGTGCATGTGCATGTGTGTGTGTTTACATACAATCCCAACAAGAAAAAGATTTAACTACTCATGGTAGCTAGATACGAAGAGAATGATGAAGATGAACGAGCATCCATTGTGATTTTCCAACAATAGAAGTGAACCCAATGATCAGTGCATTTATATGCACCTTCCTCTATGTTTAGACTTAAGCATTTCTATAATTTGATTTGTTTATTTTGCTATTTTATGATGTTTTTACAATTCAATTTATTTTCAGCCTTATTTGATTTTCGTTTGTTATTTTCAGCATTAGCAACTTTTAATTAAAATTTTATAACTGCAGCTACAAAAATCAGATCGAGACGTTTTACCAGTCGTTGGAAAGTTAAAAAAAAATCAACAACTTTCATGTTGCACAAAAAATCTGATTTGGACTTAATGAGTCTCAAATAATTCGTTGAAGTTTCAGACTGTAATAATTTAGTTCTTTCAGGTCATTCCTATTGGGTCTGGTTTATGTTTCCCACCCAGTTGAGTGTGTAATGCAAACATTATTTTGTTTATAAGGTTTGTTGTCGTGCTACGGTAGTTTTTACCCTAGCTTTTACAAATTTTCTTTTGCTTTCACACATTCCATGGCAAACTAATCCCGAGGGAAAATCTGTCGGTTTCGACTTTCGTAATCCTTTAAGATTTTATTATACATTTCGATTTAATTCAATTCCTTTCCAATTTGTTTTATAATTTTCGTTTTCTTAATTCGTTCTTATAGAATAAATTGGATTCAATTCGATTGATCTATGTTCCTTACCTTAATCGCGGGTAACTTAGCTTTTTCGGGAATTTGCGCCATCTTTTAACCGTTTGCTTAATTCAGTGGTTAAGAATATAAGTCGTGTAGTCTTGTCGACGTTTGTTTGTCAATATTGCAATCAAATATGGATTGGAACTGCTTAGGGAATTGGAATTGTAATGACTGATGATAAGTTGGGAGTCGAACCGGTAGATTAACATGTTTTAATCACTTATTTTAAAAATCACTTATTTTATTGTTTATTTTCTTAATCGAATTCTAAATCAAAACAACCCCCCCCCCCCCATAATCGTTTTCAATTGGTCATTTCATCAATAAGAATCCTTGTGAATCGACATCTGAGTTATTGTCGCTTTACTACATTTTTTCAAATTCTCGTTTTTGATCCGCTCGCGACAACGGATCACCCAACTTCGGATCTTCAATAAGCACCCTCACTTGTTATTTTCTAAGCCTCACTCTCTCCAAAATTGGTTTCTCTTATATGTCCCAAGCTGATATAAGATCATATAAGAGAAACTTAAAACTTAAAACTTTGTTTGTCCTCAAACAAGAGTCAATTAAACTTAAAGAAACAAGAGCAACTACCAAGAAATCATGATCAAACAAGTTTTTTTTTAAACACGAAAACAAATGTATGGTTCATATTGCAAAAGTACAAGCAAAGTGATGTTTACCACTACGCTACAATGACACCGTGATCATGAAACAAATCTAAGTACATAGCACATGTCAAAAATTCTAAAGCAACACATTTTTAAATATGAATCACACCTAACATATAACTTCATCAATGAATGAAGAACAAATATGAGGGACTTGACTCATACCCAACAATCTTGCTAACATCTTTATTAAATTATGCATTCATCCAAAAAAATCACATTTAAAGCATAAAAACACAAATCACAAAGGGCTCCAAGGAATGTAATTTGGTTGGTTGACAAAAGAGTAATATCTTAAGGTAATTAAAACAAAAAAAAATTGTCTAAACATATGAGAGCGAACACTTCTCAAATTCTAAAACATTCACAACTTCCTTTACCTTTTTCTTATTGCTCAATTGTTACACTTTTTCACACAACTTATTAGCACAAAATTTATTTTTCACCTTTTCTTTTTCTTTTAAACAAGTCTCTTTATTTTCTTGGTTCACAACTTTCTTTCTTTTTTCAATTTTTTTCCAAATTATTAGCAACCTACCATTTCTCTTTCTTCACCCTAACTTGAATACAAACAAGCATTGTAATGTGAAAGCTCCCAAACTTTCTAATGCCAGGGTTAAAATTTCAACCACAAGTTATGGTTGATGGTTCAAGTATTTCAATAAACAAATTTACAATCCATACAAATATCAATGATGAACTAATCTTTGCATGAAAAAAAAAAACACAGTTCAAAATTGATATAAATTCTGACACTAAGGCCCAAAGGGGTTAACGAATTCTCGCTCACTCACAATGTATATTACTTTCGGTTAAGTAGTTGTGCTCAAAATAAAACAAAATGCTTTGATCATTTTCATATTTTCATATAATTCAACATAATTGCAAGATTAAACATAAATCAAACGAGTTAAAACAAAAATTGTTGGTATCTTGTACAATTTAGTAAACAATGGAAGCTTCCTTCCCTTTGGTTATAATCTAAAGTGATTCAAACATGAACATGTATTGCAAAAGAAGTAATGGCATGATATTCGTACAAATTACAAGTTTCATATTTATGCTATGTTATAGAAAGAAATAAACATGTACCTTGTTCAATATCAAATTTTCAACTCATATCATTACCATATAAATGCAAGTTTGAACATCATGAAACATCACCTTGTTCCTCCAAGTTATTTAAAACCAAATTTGAAACAAACATAAGTTTATGCTACAAATTTAAATACCTTGAATTTAAACAAAACTATTATAATTTAACCTAAAAACTTAATACAAAGTTATTAAATACTTATAGTATTGGGTTGCCTCCCAACAAGCGCTTGTTTAACGTCGTTATCCCAACGCCTTTTTTTCGCTTGACTAGTAACTTTCTCTTTCTGGTTTTATTGTTGTTCCCTCA